AAATAATGCCCTATTTAAGGGTATAGGGGTGATTTCAGACACAGTTTCCTTGCATTTTCCAGAGCTGCCCATCATGCACAAAAGTTATGTACAAAAACACAAAAGTGTATTTATTAAATTTTCTTGATTGTAGTTTCAGCACTACAAAACATTTCACATTGCAGTTTAAACAACACTTCTCACGCATACACAGTTTGAGAGGTTAGAAGGCCACATTATAGAAATTATTTCATATAGATACATTAAATTCAGATATAGAAAATTCATAAATAGACCAACTGTAATTTCAATTATTTATTGTTGTGTTCTTCTGTTACCTCATGAAGCTTTAAAACTGGGTCTTTTTTTTGTCTGTTTCAGTGTAAAAAAGCAAACACATGGTCTTGAAAAAATGTAATGAAAAACATTGAGTGCTTCAAAGTGTGATTCAGGAGTTTTAGGAATTGAGAGCAAGTAGATAGAGAGGAGGGTGATGAAGGAAAAAAACAAGCGCCCGAGCAAGAGCGAATCGCCCAGTTGTTTGAGAGTGTGAGCGGGAGCTGTAATGAGCTGTGTCTCATTTCTTGCGTCATCAAGGTTGTCTTGTTTTAGAAAAGAAACCATTACATTCCAACGTAAGAATGAAACTACAGTTATTATGCCTCACAGGGAATAACAGTCGATACTGGCTACATTGCACTTTGCTTAGACACACATTTACAAAGGTCCTTAAGCACTTCCCCTCGGGGTAATACCTGTCACCATTTTGAAGTGTGTTCCACTTTGTCAAGTGTATTAGGGAGATTTATATGGAGAGACCATTGACCCCTTTATTTTGACCAAGGGAGCGAGTCTACTTATAAAACTCAGGCCGGTCCATATACCACAAAACATCATAATTGTGACGTGACAGAAGGTCGCACATACCTAGGACACAGCCTTCGAGATGAGACACAGCTACGGTGTCTTCGCCATCTTCACCAGCTTTGAGAAGAGACTCATTTGGTTCCAAAAGCGTGATGAAAACCAACAACGGAATATCAAACCCACACACAAACAGGCTGTGTTCAAAACCCAGAGAAGAAAGAACACAGCTTTGTAAACCACAATAAAGATGAGGACCAAAGACTGTAAACACATGGTAGGGTGGCACAGAAACAAAACTTGACACCAAACAAAGGAGACAGAAGTATTTGAATAAGCATTTTATTTATTTTATCATTTGCATGTTTTTGCAAGATTAAATTCGACATGAAATGGAAGTTGTGACTGTTTATCTTTCCTATTGTGATATCCAAGTGAAATGCTACTTGAATGAGATAAAAATATAGAGCGGGACTTGGCTGATTCTAGCCTATCATTTGCTATTTTGCTGTGTGTCCCTGGACTGGATTGCATTATTTTCCCTGACAAATAGTTTGCCAAGCCTAAATGTATCAATTTACTATTAGAACCTCATCCTGAGTTCGTTGTGAACAACTAGATTTTTCTAAAAATTATTAATAAATAATTTCCCTCTAATATTATTATTCCCACACAGAAATCTGTTAATAAATTCTTACATTCCATTTGGATGTGTGTGTGTGTGTATTGTTTATGAGGACACAAATGTGTATAATGACATGGGTACTACAACGTAAACATGGTTTATGAGGACACTTCCTGTGTCCCCGTAAAACAAACGGCTTAAAAAAACATACAAAACAGTGTTTTATGAAATTCAAAAATTGCCAGTAGTTTTCTGTAAGGGGTAGGTTTAGGTGTAGGGTTGGTGTAGGGCGATAGAACATACAGTTTGTACAGTATAAATTATTACGCCTATATGGAGAGTCCCCGTAAACCACAAATGTAAGTGTGTGTGTGTGTGTGTGTGTGTGTGTCCAAATTATTAAAAAAAAATGTGAGAAATTATTAAAAATAGTAAATTATGTTTATCTGAAAGTGTAACAGTGCAAACAGGGTTTCTGTAAGGGGTAGGTTTAGGTTTAGGTTTGGTTTAGGGGATAGAAAATATCGTTTGGTCAGTATAAAAGTAATAGAAGTCTATGGAAAATCCCCACAATTCACAGAAACAAACGTGTGTGTGTGTGTGTGTGTGTGTGCGTGTGCGT